AACTAGAACTGCAGATAATATACTCTCGAAAAAGGCATTTAAAATTTGTTTACGGTTGTATTTATTTTGGTAACCTGCCGTCTAGTATTATACAAAATTCGTGTGGATCTGTCGACTGTATGAAAGAAAGAGAGGTTTCATGCTGCTTTGTAAAATGGTTTCTTCCTGGGAGTAGAAGGTTCCAGGTGAGTGCAATTTACGTCTCGTTGTCGGTTTGGTTTGTTTTGAATTTTGTGCAAAGCTACACGAGTACTATCTGCGCTAGCCGTCCCTGATTTAGCAGTGAAAGACTAGAGGGAAGGCAGCTAGTCATCACCACCCACCGCCAACTCTTGGGCTACTCTTTTACCAACGAATAGTGGGATTGATAATCACAGTACAACGCCCCCACGACTGAAAGGGCGATCATTTTTGGTGAGACGGAGATTCGAACCCGCGACCCTCAGATTGCGGGACGAGTGTCCTGACCACCTGACCATGCCGAGCCCCTCGTAGTAGGACGTGCTCTAGTGGTTAGCTTGCTAGATTGTGAATCCAAGGATCCACGGTTAGCTTCCTGTTGCTGCAAAATTGCGTTCTGCTCTTTGGATCCGTGGGTGTGTTGTAAGACTGACGATCAAATCCCACTGTTCGACTAGAGTGGTCAAGAGTTGACTATGGGTGCTGTTGGTCAGCTGCCTTCCCTCTAGTTTATTAGTTTAAAAGAAGGGAAGGCTAGCGTAGCTTCGCACGAACATCCTAAACAAACAAACAAATTGGCGTCACGTGGTAAGTTGAGGGCTCCTGCGAAAAAACAACGATTGATATCTGAGTCGACTATATACAACAAACCTAAAGGGTGAGACGTTCTTTTATGTGGCATAATTCAAATATTCTCCCTTTCAAGTCTCTTGCTACAGCTGTGGCGGGCTTTTTTCTTCTGAATATAAATACATTTAATTGGTTTTTTTTGTAATTTAAAACAAATATCTACACTAGTTTCAGCATTTCATAAACTTATTGAAACGGTCTTCCATTTTTTAGCACTTTTTTAGGAAGTTTTCTACAAAAACAAACAATTTTCTTGTACCAAAATCTTCCCACTCCTTTAAAATAGTTTATTATTTTTTAAACAATTTTCAACAATATTTTCATCTTAAACAAAATATTGTCACAGTCTTTATAAGAATATATTTCAACAAACCTTTTTGATCTGTATCTAATTTCTGTATTGTATTTTTGGTGTATTTAATACTAGAAATAAACAACCTTATAACACCAAATTTATTATTTGTCTTTAATTGGACACACAACGTTTCGCTTTACAGCTTCTTCAGGGGAGTTCAACTAAAACACAAACCTTAACTGATAGCACAAAGATTGTAGTAACAGTTACGGTTTGTGTTTTAGTGGAATTCTCCTGAAGAAACTATGGCCAGATGGTTAGGGCGCTAGAATTGCAATTTGAGGGTCGCGGGTTCGAATTCTCGTCTCACCAAACATGCTCGCCCTTTCAGCCGTGGGGTGTTATAATTGACGGTCAATCCAACTATTCGTTGATAAAAGAGTGGCCCAAGAGTTGGCGGTTGGTGGTGATGAGTAGCTGCCTTTCCTCTAGTCTTTCACTGCTAAATTAGGGACGACTAGCGCAGTTAGCTCTCGTGTAGCTTTGTGCAAAATTTAAACCAAGTTTTCTTATAAAAACAAAAACCCCAAATCTTTACTTTACCAGAAAAATAATCTTAACACTTTTATTTTAAATTCCTCTAAGATATATATATATATATATACATTTTTCAGAGAACATACCAGAACGACAGTGATATTGATCTAGTTTAGACGCAGTCACAAGGTGAGCAATAAAGAAATAAGAACACAAATAAAAGGCAAGTAAATCCACATTATAAAGTTTGCCAACCTTTCGGCTCATAATTGGCACAACGTGGCTCCCTATCCTGCTATCTGAGCGTGCAGCAATAAAGCCAACTCCAAATGACACAACCAGGGTGCGCCTTGATACAGTTTTGTGCATTATTTATTGTTGAAAAGTACGAGGCTATTTAAAGGTGTGAGCACGGGTACTTTTCTGAAACAAAGTTGCTTATTTTACAACTACACAACATTCATAACAATAAAAAGGTGAACACAAACCAATAAATCTTTCATTTTGATAACATTAACACTAAATCAAACAACTATCCTGTCTGCTGATACACGAACAATAAATCAAACAACTATCCTGTCTGCTGATACATGAACAATAAATCAAACAACCATCTTTTCTGTTGATACATTAACAATAAATCAAACTATCCTGTCTGCCGATACATGAACAATAAATCAAACAACCGTCTTTTCTGTTGATACATTAACAATAAATCAAACTATCCTGTCTACAGATACATTAACAATAAATCAAACAACTATCCTGTCTACAGATACAATAACAATAAATCAAACTATCCTGTCTACAGATACATGAACAGTAAATGAAACAACCATCTTTCTGCTGATAAATGAAACAACCGTCATATCTGCTAATATATAAACAATAAATGAAACAACCATCATGTTTGCTAATATATAAACAATAAATCAAACAACCATCCTGTTTGCTAATATATAAACAATAAATCAAACAACCATCCTGTCTGCTAATATATAAACAATAAACCAAACAACTATCCTGTTTGATGATACATGAACAATAAACCAAACAACTATCCTGTTTGATGATACATGAACAATAAATCAAACAACTATCCTGTTTGATGATACATGAACAATAAATCAAACAACTATCCTGGTTGATGATTCATGAACAATAAATCAAACAACTATCCTGTTTGTTGATAAAATGTACCCTGAATTACTTGCTTCTTAAACAATAAAACACAAAAGCTATAAAATGATAATCGCATAATTCCAAAATAATTACGAATATACACTGCATGAAGATAAACATTATTATGTTTAATGTCGATTAAAAAAATAATAACTGTCCATTATTATCCATTTTCAATGTTAAGACTAGAATAATAACATAAGACACAAACTATTTCACTTTGAGAAACAAAAATAAAAGGAAAGAATCCATTGTGACAGAAATTTAGACTACAGTTTCCAGCGTTAACATTGTAATTGGCCGATAAAATGTCCGACAATTCGTAGAACAATATAACTTTATATACTTTTAACGAAAAGCAACAATCCTATTTTTCTATAATGGTGTTCTATCTATTGTTCTGACTGATAAGCGATGCTCTTTTTTTGTCATTGTTTCCAGGAGACAACATACAATTTCGCTGTTTAGCGATTGATTACCGTTTTCTATTCTCATTAGTGCCATTTTGTTTTTCTGGTCATTAATATTTTCTGTTCTCTGTCTTTTATGTTTATGACGTGTCTCTGAACGACAGCATTGTTATTTCTTTAACCATGGCCATGTTTTTGTTTCTGGTTAATAGATCGTATTTATTTTTTAATTATTTTGTGCATTGCATTCATACTAAATTCTTTCACACTGGATGTTAACAGGAAACAAATAAACTCAAATTTCAATTATATTCCTTTAGCGTCAGCGAACACCAGCACATGGATACATGCGGGAGATCAAACTCCCTGTGCTGATAAAAGTTATGGTGCATGAGTTGTATTGAAACATGCTCTGGACAGGTAGTTTTCTTTCACGAACGAGTCCCATCTGTTCGAACATTTTATAATCAGTAGCAGCAGTTTCGTTACCATGTGCTGTTACAACAGTGAATTCTTCTCTAGACCCGCTAGCCTGGACCCCTGCTATTACAATGTATATAAAGGCACCAAACTGTGAGGTCCGGTAACGTAAGGGCCACACAGCTCGTCCCTACTATCTTCCCTGAGATCCCCATTAGTCCGACTTCCGATAGACTGGTTGTTGACAATGATCAATATCAGCTTCACATATTTCCGTTAACAAGGGACCGCCATTATTTGGTCCTTGCTCGTCAAATCACATAATCCTAACAGGTCAACTGACCGTGGAAGATGAATGTCCCCCAAAAGAACGATATCTTTGTAGACATGTCTTTTATACAGTACAATATGTACCCCAGGGGTACAACGGTATGTCTGCGGACTTACAACGTTAGAAATCGGGTTTCGATACCCGTGGTGGGCAGAGTATAGATAGCCCATCGTGCAGCTTTATGCTCAACTAACAAACAACAACAGTACAATATCAGGCTCGGAAAAACATTGCGTACAACTTGATTTTTTACATTACTTGCATGAATGTTACAGCTGATTTCGTCACACCCACACCAACTCGGGGTTATGTTGTTTCCGAACCATGATATACTACTGTTACCATGACAAATGATGGGCAGGGCAACTGCTAAGTTTGCTTCAACAGTTTGTGTTGTTTAGCAGACGATCTGGCAGAAACTAAAAGCAGAGTAAACTAAAAGTACTTGCAATGACATCTTTGCAGGTTCGCAGAAATGGTAGATAACAGAAGGTAAAAAAATATGTTCAACGCATAATCAACTGTTTTCAATTTTCACTGTAGCTGTCATCTGTGCTTAACTTTTAAACTTCATTTAGATCAGGACTGGTACTTCTATTAAAATGTATCCAATATAAACCGAATCCTTCATCTTTATAGAACTTATTTTACGAAGGCCAGAACCGTATTTTTGTTGACATTGTAAGAGTAGTCTTTGGCCTTTATCATAACCTTTCGCATGACATAGTCCTAGTTCTTAATGTGTACTCAGTCGTTTTATTTTAATTTTCTGGTTTTAAGTTAGCTAGAGACGGCGGCAGATTGCCTTAATAGCTTTGCCATAGAGTTATGAATATCCATTTTGGGGCATTAACTTAGTAAACAAGACATTTCGTATCATCATTACTTTAAAGTTTAACGTTTCATAAGTAAGTTAAATAGTTAGCATTTGTTTTATTTTTCCTTTCTTTACCTTGTGTTGTTATTAGGTTATGCTGGTGACAGACAAAAACTTTATAGATAAAGCAGTGCTTACCTTTACAACTTCCGTCCATGGACTCATAACCAGGTTTACATTTACAGCCGCCAGATGGCAGAGTCCAGTTCCCGTCTCCTTTACACAGCAGCTTGGGCGGATCCACAACTTCAGCGTTGGCGACACACTGACCTTCAACTTCCACGATTTCTGTAACTTCTCGACCTGTAGGACTGTCTGGGAAGAAGGCGAAATTGACCGTAATGTTTGGGCAAGTCATATAGTAAACTTTAATTGCAATTATTGACAAGCACGCTCCCTGGTCGCGGAAAGCGAAATACACCCCTTTCTTGGTGACTGGTATGCTACGAACCTCAGTGTTAATGATGACTTCATTTGTGGAGGTAAAGCGACCTTCATCCGCTGCAATGCGGTCCACCAGTTTGTAGGACTCGGGCTCCCACGGAGGAGGTTCTTTCGTTGCCGCATCAAATTCGTAATAAAGGAGAGAGAACGTCTCCTTACAGGAGAGTGCCATTCCGGGAAACAGGTTACAGTCCCGCATGCTGAACTTAATTTCAATGTAAATTCTGCTGGCGTCCCTTCGCTCCACGAACGGCGTCCATAGCCAGTTGTTAACATTGCTATAAGCCACGTCACATACCACAAATGATCTCCAGTTAATACCTTGCTCAAAGTTGGTGAAACTTTCCTCCACCCACTAAGAAAAAACAAACAAAAAACAGGTGAAAAGTTACCCAGTAGAAACCGGCGGATAGTTTAGACAGAGAATATAGTACTGGCCTTGGATCTTCCATGGACGATACCTTCTTGAAGACTATAGAGTTGGAAGACATTTCATCAGGCTTCAACACAGAGGATTGAATGCCTTCCTACTTTATACTCCAACAAGTGCGGCCAACAGAAGATTTAACGTCAGTAGAAATTATGTTCAAATAGAAATGTACAGTTTTCCAAAAGATACTTTAGTGCTCATAGTTGTAATATTAGCCGAAAACAACAGGCAAAAAAACCATTGTCATGTAATCTATTCACAAGTTACAAATTATTTACGATAAATAAAAATATTGATTTATTTGTTTCAAACGTTTTGCACAAATTCACACAAAAAGGCTATCTGTACATAACCGTCACTAATTTTGAACTGTTATTCTAGAAGAAAGGAAAAATGATAACTCAAAATCTTATCATACAAAGAATATCACCATCCTTCTACGCTTCATCAAAAAGTATCGCATAATACCTGCGTTAAACATACATTGAAAGTTTAACGGACTGACATGCCAGGGAATATTACAATTTCAAGTTTAATTCAAA